GCCCAAGGAAAGCCAATATGCTTATGTTGTGGATCGAATGAGCGCTCAATGGAGAAATGTGACAATGACAACTTCGCTGCAGCGATGGGGGCGATTGTCGCAGCTTTTGACCATATAGAAGGGATCCTATCGAGATCATCAAGAGAGATCGAGCTGAACGAAAAGAGAAAAGAGCAAGAACCTCAAAAGATGATGTTGATGATGACGAAGATGTTGAGGTGGGAGCCTATGACCTGCCAGAAGAAACACCATGTCTAGGCGAAGAGTCACCGACTCCTGCTGCAAAGCAATCTCAATCACAGTCATTGAAAGGAGCGAAGAATGAGTATGAGAAGGCCGTCGCGTACATGAAGCGTTCACTTGGCAATGCTACAATCTACACGACGTTCAGTATCCCTGTGGATCTAAGGGCATTTGCTGATGAACAAGAAGGAGGACCCTTCAAGCTCATGAATCGCAATGTGGACGTGTCTGGGCCACATGAGAAACGTGGACTAGATGAAATCCTGATTAGAGCTCAGACAGCCGGCAGCAAGTTGCCAAAAAGTCGCAGAGTTGAAGGACGACCCAGCGGCAACGTCGAGGTCATCCCACAAACCGGTACCACCCTTTGTGTCGAACAATGGAACGGAGAAAAGGGAAGAACGAGATCAGGTTTTGCGCAACCGCCCACCTTCAAGATGAGGAGCTACATCGACAAGGACACAGATGAATACGCCGCGGTAGATGCTATCAGCAGGAAACTCAACAAGATCCTGAGGCATCAAGCCGGGAAAGAGACTGTAGTCTCACAGTCTGGGCGTGTGCATGAAAGTCTTCCATGCAATGAGGGAGGATGGGTGAACGTACAAGACGTGCTCATGTATGGCCATATCTTCAATGATAACAACGGCAACCAGATACGAGATGCAAAGAAGCAAGGATACCTGACGGAAATGCTGATGACACGATACTACCGATGTTGTCAAGCCATGTGGTTTTCGAGGAAGCTTCAGAACCGTGTCAGATTCCAAACTGCCCCAGTCCGCATTTCCCCTGGTGACGCTATGAAAGAGGAACAAAGAGAGTATTGGGAAAGCAACTTCAAAGTCCGGAACGATGCGTACTACTTTAGGGGGCATGAACTCTGTCTGTTTCCAGTGGCAATGAGAGCAGTGTCCTCGCGCAATCCCTCTTCCCAGCAAACGGAGATAAGCGAGAACGATGTCACTCTGTATCCACATCTCACATCGCGTGACATCACTGACCCTATTGCTATCAGCCCGGGAGGAAGCTTTCATGTGAAATCGATCGGAAGGGTTTCGTCCAAGAATGAAACTTGGTATCTTGCCCAGTGGAACAGAAGAGGAACTTCTTGCTTCAATCGCTTTGCGCCGTGGGACAATCGAGCGCGAGACGTTTTGAGATCAAGAATCCCCACCATTGACATTCCAGTTGTTCTGTATTTACCTGTTGCTACTTTGAAGAGCCTCGGTGCACGCCTTGCCGAGAGTTCCTATGTCATCATGTTCAAAGAGATCGCGTGGGATCGCGTCAAAGGAGCATGGTACCAAGATCCAACAGACAACGAATGGAAGAGGATGTTGGCAAGAGGGGTTACCAACCACCTCATCACCGCCGCTACCCATCAAAACAAGATTGCCACAAAGGACCAAATCATTGAGAAGGCGAAAGAAGTCATTGCGGGAGGCACGAAGAAAGATGAGAACGCCTGGAAGCTAGATGATATCATCAACTCCAAGGATTTCAACGACATGAAGAAGCCATGGAACTTGCGAAGGTTTTCGAACCGTTGATGGCAACATCCTCTGTCCTGTTTGCGTGAATATGATACCAAATACTCTCACTATCTGTCTTCTCTGTCATGGACGATTCATGAGTTGCGGTATGAGAAATACAGTAGCCACGACGACGATCATCGAGATTGACGAGGAGACCAAGGTCAAGAAGGACGTGTAAATGGAGCAACCCAAAGACCTTGACAAAGAACATCAAGACATGATAGACGAGGTGATGATGAACGCAACCAAGGATGTTGTGCAATCTGAGGTCACTGACAACGAAGAAGACGAGGAAGTCAGCTTTGGAATTTGATAAGATCATGGCCCAACCAGCAGCTCGGAAGAGTGATCACCAAGCAGAAGTCGATAGAGACTCTCTGGCGCCAGTGATTGAAGAAGAGCTAGATGAAATGGATGCCCTTATCAAAAGTACAACTGAACATCCGACGTCGTCAGAGAAAGTGACCGAAGATGTTGAAATCGAGCACGCTGAGCAAGCACATGAACGAGGCCAAGTTGACGATGAAGATTATGACGCGTTCTTTCGATCCAGACATCGGCTTGCCAAATCAAGAATTGCCCAACTGGTGCAGATTTCCAGAACCAGTTCGATTTGACTTGCAAGACGAAGCAGGATGTCAAGACGGAGGCAAAGGCTCATCCGGCCTGATGGACAGATACATTGTGCGTTGCGTGACACAACTCATTGCGCCGCTGCACAAATCATATCACTTACTGAGCATAGTTGACTTCAAGACCCTTTTCAGGAGAAAGGGGCTTGATGTGATGGCCCAGATCCCTTTCAGCGGACTAGATGACGACGGTATGCCTTTGGATCCCACGGATGAGCAGATGCAGACCTTTGCGACTCATCGCAGTAACACAATCGAAGAGGCGTGGCATCGCTTCCGAGGAGAACGCACCATTGGTAGATTCGCTTTGCAAGCAATCGCTTTTGGCTATACGCCAGAATCGAGCATAATGTGAAGGATGATCAGGAAATGCATGAACGCCATCTACAATGATGTCGCGACATTTTCTTAGTTCAGGGAAGACTTGACTGACAGTGCGACTCACAAACGCATCAACACCGTTGACATTGTGTATTCAAGGCCCGAGAAGAGATGGGACCGATCGATTCTACTGGCGCTGGATCAATCCAATCCAAGATCAAGTTTCCGCCTAAGGCACGAGAGGTTTTGTTAGAGATGACCAGACACACACACACGTGCGAGCTTTCAAACGTTGGAACGGCATGTTGGAATTGGAGCAAGTCAGGCGGTTAATGGACAAGTATGATAATGCAGCGAATGTTACCAACATTCAATCCACAGAAAGGCCGCCACAGCCGAGCGTTGCGCCCGAGATCGAACGTCCACCGTCCACCGTGATCCGAGGCAGCACCATCAAGCCACCAGAGGAAAGGAGAACGCCAACGTCAAGCAGGGTGGCGAGGGTAAGATCTATGGCCCCAAGGGCTACCAACCTTTTTGGGGGTGCGCAAATGGATACGCCCAAAATTGGCAGCCACCAGCTATGAACATGAACGCATATGATGCAACATTCCGAGAAGGGCAGTGGACCAACCCGAGACAGAGGAGAGACCCTGGACATTGGGAAGGCTACGATGACCGGGATGATGCAGATGAGAATGACTACGAGGAAGATACCGGACATTGAGACAAGTTTAAATTACCAAGTATGAACCCCTGTCAGTCGTAAGAGTATCATCAGATGAACGTTTTATAGTTGGGAAAGTCACCACAGCTTCGGACTACCTCATGACGAAGATCTACTGAGAGTTTTCTGAGCGTGGCCAATTCGACTATCGTTCTCAAATTCAGATGCGCAGCCAATAGGTCTATTCACACATTTATATGTAGAAAGTCCGCTTAGTTCCGTTAGTGTTGCGTAGTACAGAGTCCATTTTGGCCTCACGGCATCAATTCGATAACCTGACGCACAGCACACTTACCCTTGATTTTGCCATCTGTATCCAAAGCTGAAAGCATGGGATACATGGGGGGTGTCAATGGAAGTGCAGCGATAGGCCAGGTATAAAATATATACAGACAGTATACATCGTGTGATGACCGCCAACTATTTGGCTCAAGTGCCCCTATTGGAGGAAAAAGGCCGCGTGTCCTTTTGATTGTGAATGGAGCATAGGGCAGCTTTGTAAACCTTCCCGGTTACAAGGATAATATCCACTCGCAAATTTCAAGTTCACTGAAACATGTGAACCTCTTCAACGTGCCGTGCAAGCATGACAGCAGTGCAATATGTCGGCGTCTCAGCGTAGCACATGTGTCTACCGCCGCAACAAGCAAGAGCTAGCAAACCTGCTCCGGAGTGCGCTTGGGAGCCTCCTGACATGTCAGCACGACAGCAAGATCTGACTTTCGCATCCCACCGTGATCACATGTCAGCATGCTAGAATGACAACATGTTGTGTTTGCACATCCGCAGAACAGCATTATACAGAACACGCCAACATGACACCATGTCGGCATATCAGCCTGACAACATCTCTGCAATGTGATGCATGCCAACTGCGCCATATGGCAATGTGATGCAAAGTTCCTTCTTCATAACTTGGGGAAACTCCGGAACCCCGCGGCTGATGACCCGCCTCCGAATTCGGGACCCGCCTGAAAAGAGATCAAGGTATTTTCGATCATGTTTCTTTAGTTTTCCGGCCCATAGCGAAAAGGAATCGAAAAGGAACATTGTTTTTTTAACTAATTATTGGTTTCTCAACGACGAACATATGCATCTTACGGAAGTCATGCGGAAGGCGCAGAGTAAGGCAACAGGCAATAGACCTCTGGGTTGGTCTGCGTCGATGTTGTGGGAGGACTTGTTTCTCATCTACTGATCCATGGACAGGTGGGGAGACGACCCAACAGTGAAGCTATGCTTGTAGAGCTTTCGCGACAGCTGAGTCGTGGAGCTTGTGCGACAGCGGGTGGTGACACCGTGAGGTAAACTCAAACCATTCTGTTCGTCTCAGTGGTCCTGTTGACGGCAAATCCTGTAATTCGCAGGGATGGTCGGTGGTTTCAAGGCCTTCCCAATGACCCATATTTGTCACGGCTGGAAGCACCATAAACAGCTAGGAAGTACCCCTGAGCTCTGGATTTCTGGTCGGTGTGGTCATCAAATACGAGAATTTGCAGGCACCAAAGACAACTTGGACCGTCAATTGGCCTGCCTGAGGCCTACGAGCAAAGATTTCGAGCAGTTCTGCAACCTTCACTGGACTGGCATTGGTGGCTAGGCAGCGATCAGGAAGGCAGTAGATCAAGCTTGAGATAGGGGCAAATAGGAGATGGAAAACAGTATTCAAGTCTTTCCAGATCACAAAACACAAGCTGTCTAGATCCCTTTGTTCTAAAGACATACCAAGAACAAGGCTCTTATGTTTGTGTGTGTTTGTATGTGTGTGAGAATTAAGGTGGTGTTTTCAATTTTTTCTGTAGGGTTGACCATGCCCAACCATCGCTACTGTGGGAACATGCCCACTCATTGCACCCCAGAAAAGCCATGTAGCTTAAACCCTGAACTCAATTCTCAAAGCTGCCACTTTGTCCTAAACCCATGCCATGCACGACAGCTTCCGCTGCATTAAGCCACGCCAACAAAACCTTCTCGAAAAAGAACGGTCCGGGAAGGATGAAAACGCTGCGCCGCTGCGCCGCTGCGCTGACCTGGTTCACCTGTGGTTACCCTCCTTATTTTGGAGCCACCGCCACTCAGACCCACTCGTCCCCCCGCGTCCTCTCGCCAGCGTCGAGGCAATTACACGGCCTTGTATGTCCTCGCAGCGTTGGAGCCGCACCGGACGAGCGCCGTGGACCGGAGGTTTCATCTCGGTGATTTTAGGCCAGAAAAGGATTCCAAAACAACACATGTTTGGCCTATTCCGAACTTCCTGTGTGAATGACTTTGGGAATCAGTGGATGTGTTGGGAAGAAACGTACCATGGACCCTGCGACGGGTCGACGAAACCGCCACCAAACCACAATCTCAGTCCCGGTAGTTGGAGCCAAAAGAGTTTGGGGCCCGGGGTGTGTCTCGGACTTGCGAGCGATTTCGATGGATTAAGAGGCACCGTGCCACTAAATTTGTCCACTGCCCAACAAAGACGAAGTCAAACATGCGGGTCACTGCATTGGTCATGTGGGCTACAGGCTATACAAAACGGAAGTGTCCTTGGACAGGGTTCCTTCTTTCCAAAGGCTCTAAACATCAAGAGGAACACTTTCTTTCGACCGATAGAGGCTTCCCTTTTTAAAGACGGCTCAATCTGAGGATGTCTTTTTAAAGGAAGGTTCATTCTTAACATCTGTGGACTCAAAGAAACTCCTTCTGACACAAAAGGGTTACGCTGGAAATCAAGAGGATTTTGCTCAAACAACAGACGCGTTTCTGTGGACTTCCTTTGATGAAATGAACACGTGTTCTTCTGAGACAAGAGGATTTACTATGGCTGTCCTCTCATCCAACTCCATGTTGATTCCACTCATCCACAACTAAGATTGATATAGCTTCGTCCTGCAGTTTCCAGATATGAACTCCAACTTCTGCGAGGTCTTCAACTCCTCCACGAAGCAGATCCGTGCTGCTTCCACGGCTGTGGAAGACACCGTCGGATCCAGGAGCACCGCCGGATCCAGGGCACCAGCCATGGGCAACAGCGCTGGTGGGGTGGATCTATGCCACCGAAATTGGCAGGTGAACATGGTGGAATGTTTAACCCCCATTCCAAGATCAAAAGAAATGAAGGCATTAAACCAGGTGGTTACGCGCTTTAGAAGCTCACGTGCTTTTCTTGAAGGGCAAAGGGTTTCACGCTGCAGTCGAACAAAGAAGCATGGTTGGTTGTTTGACATGGTGCCCTGGAAGTGGCCCTCTTGATTTCTTCTTGAAACCAGTTCTTTAGGGCTGACAATTATCCAGCTCAATTCTGTATGCCGCGGATTCTTGCGAACCAATCCCAACGGGACGAACCTACTTTTAGCCAACCCCCATTAAACCATCACTTGGGAAGACTGAGCTGTCCGTTTGTCTAGAGGCTTTGGTTCGCAATTGATACTAAAAGCGATGGCCTCCAGCAACAGGAACATAATAGGAATGGCCTCCAACCTAATAGCGATGACCTCCAACCTAGTTTCGGGATATTTATATACTAATCATCCAACAGTCTCTCCCAGGAGTATGGTGACTTCGTTCGTGCGAGAAGTGCTGGACACTTCCGAACCGTGGTGACCGAGGGGAACCTCCACTTGGTCAACCCGTGCCTTCGCCAGATTCCACGTGGCTCTTCATGGAAGAATTTCAAAAGCTCATTCTAGGCATTCCAGATGTCTTTGAAGTGCAACAAACATCAATGTCCTTCAATGGGGAAGCTTGTTTCAACAACCGCTGCTTTCTCTTGTGAAGAATCCACGACACGGTTCGCTTCGCTGAGGCGCGAGAAGATCATCATAGGCACTCTTTTGTACAAGATGGCTCGTGGCCAGGCCAGGGCGCGGCCAGGCGTTTTTCGTTCGAAGCCGAAACCACGTGGCGTCGCGGCGTTTGAGTCCACGTGGATCTGCTGTGGGAGGGTCTCGGTGGAGACTGCAAACCACTGGAAGAGCTGGTGTTGTGGTCTGGTTGGAGGCAAGAAGTGGGGTGGTCTGGTTGCCACGACTGAACGCCAACTGCCAGCAAATCCAGGAGATCAAGACGCTCCGGTGGTCAGTTATGGATCAGGTACTCTCAGGTGTTAGCGCCTAGAGGCGTCATTCAGTCAGATGAGCATCCGTGCTACCATGGTCCACAGGACATGAGTGGAAATTCAACCCTGCAGCTCAAAGAAACATGGGTGGAATTCGATGCTCTTGACTTCGAAGAGGCCATGTTTTTTGGTGAAAGAGGAGGGGCAGGTCGCTTGCCCTTCTTTCCACTCCTGACAGCACCCTAGCCTTTCAAGACAACGCACCAATGCTTGAGCTAGTTTTGTTGAACCGCCTCCCCGGCAAAACAATGGCCATTCAGGATTCAGAAACGAATACAATAAAGAGCACTCAAACCTCCAAGACCACAAAACCACTAAAACATAGTGGAAATCTCAAATCGACACCTCCTCGATTTGAGGCAGTGACTGCAGCAGATCTCCTCACGCCTTTCGACCTCCTGAGAGAAGTGGATGCCATTTACTCTTGAAGCCGATGGACCGAGGACAGGAAACGCCAGAAAAGCCAAAGGAACCGCCAGACAGCTGGAGGGTTGCTGAGGTATTGGTCCTCAAGTCGGAACGTAATTATGTTCACATGTTTTTTCCCTATCCAGTCATCCTGTTATTCACAGTCCAGTCTATTTGGAGGTCACTTTTTATGCTAGGATGGACGATGTTGGAGAAGATCCTCATGAAGGAGTGAACTATGGCGAATGGCAAAATTGGCCGCTGCTCGCATGACTGGCTGGCGGTTGACCTGTTTTGTTTCACTGCCGGCACTGGTCTGCGCTGACCAATACAGGACGTTGATGGCTGAACCCAGCAGCTGTTGATATACCAGCCTCCTGTAGCAACAGCATTTGTGCACATCGATGCACATCTTTTTCTGAGGATATATATATATATGATAGGATATCATGACCAAGATCACATCGATATTGTATAGAGATCTTGGTTTGAGGTTTTTACTGTCCCCCGGCCCCCGAGGTTTGCACCCTCACCAGATTCCCGCTCAAACACCTGGCACAGTTGAGGGATGGAATCGTGTGCGTTTTCTGAGAAGCTTTTGCGGTTGCAACTTTTCCTGGAAAAGTGATGACTGCCTCAACATGGGGCATCCCACTGTTGAAATGCATAAAGTTGGAAATGCATCAGAATGAACAGCATCCTGAGCAGTACTGCAGTATTTTTCTCTAATTTTGTTCAATACACTTCAATACACCTTTGATTTGATAGAGCCGTGACTGTCATACACCCCGAACAATATATTATACAGGATATATATATATATACACACACATTTTTGTCCAAGAGCTATCATGACCATATGAAGTTGGAAGTTGCTGCTGACCTGCCGTCACTTGGTCACCTGCTTGGGGCGCTGGCTGTCGAAGCACCTGCCTCACCCTTCGCATGCCGGGGGTGGAAGAAGTCCTTGGCTGTCGAGCATGTATGACTTGGAAGGTTTCTCGTGACCAAGTAGCCAAAGCTTTTAATGTCCTTGGACTTGGTTTCCATGTCCTTGGACTCAAAAGTCCTTGGTAGCCGACCATTAAAAGGACTTGGACATGGAAGCTCTCTTTTTTTGGGTGACCTTGCGTGACTTGGTGCACTCGGGGCTCGTATTTGCGTTTCTTCCGGACCGAGTATTTTGATAGTTGCTTGGGGGGAGATCTGCCATCAAGACGGTTGAAGATGTCTGGAATTCACAATCCCGCATGGATTGGCAATAAAGGGAGAAGGACAGTAATGGCAGCAGCTGCGGATTATGGAGGTATGTGGCGAAATCTTTCTGCTCCAGGTAGCTAAGAATCAAACTGAAAGCTGCCATCGACCCGTGCCATCCAATCCATTTTTCTTCTCGTCATTCCAACGGAACCATGCAGTTCACCGTTTGCCACTCCAAGTTTCCTGTGTGTTTTGTCCTCTTTGTTGCTTGTTGGATGCTTGAGCTCGCTCTAAACCAATGGAGCCAAGCGTTTCTGGCGAGCGCAGTCCAAATCTTGCAAAAACAATGATGCGATTATTGCATGAATACTAGTTATGCCGGCAGGAATGCTTGGTATCAATGGGGTAAGAACTGACTTGTGGATTGCGGCACAACACAAGGCTCCTGACTGTTCGTGTTGAATGTTGAAACACGTAGTTATTGTTTGCCAGACCTTTCCATGTGTTTACCCCCACATTCACATGCAAAGGTTTTCAGACCAACCCACTGTCCATTCTTCAATCATTCTCTTTGGCAAAAAACGAAAGATGAAAGACTATCAGAGAAAGGCATTAAAAGACCGTGACAATGCCCAAAATGTGTTCTTGCAGAATGTCGTTTTCAATGATTGGTCCGACCTTGCTTGCAAAAACGCGCCGCCGAAGCTTTTGTTGAGCTAGGAAAAAAGACATGAAGCACAGTGCACCCACAATGCACCATGCCAGCGTGCACCTATTCCATGGTGAGGGTATTGCAAAGTGCTGACAGTACTGGAGATGCTATGACCACTCCAGAACAGTTCACGCTTGATTTCGAAGCAAAGGCAATTTTGAAGGCAGGTGAGTCAGAGCAAATTTATGGATTAGCTACTTTGCCGAACAAAAGACACAGCCATGGTCAATCAGGTGAATGACAATTCTCAATCACACTACTTTGGCTTTAGAGTGCCTCGTGCAATGCCATTCATATGTGCCCTCCTCATGTAGCTTCATTTTCATTGGGTGGACAGAAATAGTCGTTTAGTTCAGAGAGCTCCTGATATGTTTATCTGTGCAAAGGCTGTCATGAAGAGTGGAGCAAACCAGATGTGCGCAGGCGAGCACTGTCAAGCGTTGAAATTTGGACCGTGAAGTGATAAAACCATCGACCGAGGCGCTTGCGTTCGGAGTTTCGCGATGCAAAGCCGTATCCGCATGTCCAACTGGCATGTCTTGAAGTGACAAAATTGGAGTCCACTCACACGAGAATGGCGAGAAAAGCCAAGGCCTAGTTCAAATCCATCAGGTTGTCATACGGCCATTCTTGGGAGCAGAAGGGCTTCAAGCAGTAAGAGAGGAGGTGCAGAAGGTTGTAGCCCCAGCTGAGCCATTGTGACTGGCCACTGGACAAAGCCAATCCGTGCGTCCTGTGACTTTTCAGGTCGATGCTGCAGAGAAGGAGACGGATTTGTTTCGCTTCTTCCAAACTCAGGACGGTTTGAAGAAGATTGCTGGGCAGTAGTTCAAGCAGGAAATTAAGTATAGTCAATGTAACGAGCTTCTTGGAGGACTTGGCGCCGAGACTCTCCAAGGTACTGACCTAACGTGATAATGATTTAAAATACCGGAGTTGTCGTGAAACAAACATTGGAAAACACCTCAGCATAAAGCACCAGCTCGCAGCTTTTGAAGCTCAAGCTGCAGACCGATTCGCCATCAAAGTCGCTTGAATCTGCTAAGCATCCCGAATGCCGGGCACCTACAAGAGAAAGAAGTATACAGTATACTGCAAATGTTCACGTGTTTGCTTGGCAGGCCAGTGCCACGCTGCAGCGCTTTAGAACGTGGATTGGCGAGGCTGAGCTTGGATGAGGGAGTTTGGAACAGGAATTGAGAAAAACAGAGGCTTTGGAGATTTGTAGAATTCTGGAGATTTGGAGGAAACAGGACATGAATGAGTGAAACTATTGAAAGTTGCAGGATTTCTGACAGTTTTGGAAGCCTTTGTTGCACGACTCTGGAGGACAAGCCGCATCAGGCGATCTGGTGCTGTTCTCGCAGGCAGGGTGTTCTGAAGTGTATGGATTGCCTTTTTGTTGACTCAAATTTTTGGTTAGGCTTTCAAGCTCAACAGAGGCTGGGCGAGTGCTTCCTCTTAAGTTTGAAGATGTGTCTCAAGTGGTGCACCCAGGGCCCACACTAATTCGGGAAAATGGCTCTCTCGCAGGTCCTACCACTTTGCTTCGCCTTCCTACGTCTCCTCCTTTGGGGAATATCCCCCTGTGGATGTGAAGAGCTTGCGAAGCAACACGGTGAAATATTTGGAAGACTTCGACTCGAAAGCCTGGTTTGACGACCCTGTATGTACCCTGATTCAAGGGCATGCAGTGAATCAGGGCGAATCCTGTGACACGGTAGATGCCTTTGGCAAGATCAACGGAAAGCAAATCTTGGCCACTTCTGAAGTTGTCGATCGAGTCTTAGATCATGTGCAAAATTTGGATCTGGGAAGAGATTTCAGAGCCGAGATTCGTCGCATTGACGAACGGCTTCTCTCTCAGCATGCAGCTTTCCTCATAGGCAACCAGGCCATGGATTTCCACAAGCAAGACGGTGTGACCGAGATTGAAGAGTCCATTGAAGCCAACGTTGTGGAGAGGAAGCTCAATGACCTGCTCTTGCAAGATGAATTGGCAGGTCGAGTTCGAATACAGAGACAGACTGCTTTGGTTGGATGCGTATCCAACTTCTCCAATTTCTTGGATCTCTGCCGAAAGACCCTCCGAAACATTGAACTTGGCATTCCAGTGCTGGTGCTTTCGCGATCGAACACCACCCAGCACATGTACCGTTGGGTTCAACTTCTTCTGGTTGGAGCCCCAGATTTAGAGGTAGGGAAATCTTGCAGTTTATCGATTCTTTGCAAGAAGAACAGTGGCCTTGGTTTCCCCGGTCTTGAGGACTTGCAACTAAGGATGAGATGAAGAAAGAAGGCCTTGACACTTCTCTGGTCAGCTATGTCTCCTGCAGTATTGAAGAGCAACGGAGGATCATGTCAATGATGAAAGCAAGCCCTCTCTATCTCACAGGAAGCCGCGAGGTTGCAGCAGCTATCAAAGAGTTGATGCCTTACACCTTCGCCAGCTCCACAGCTGAAGAGAACACCACTCGGTTTGGCTGTTCACATTTGCCAAATTGACAGGCGTAGAACAATGAGGTTTCCATCTAGATGAGTTTTTAGTGCTGGATTCTCAAGTAGAAGGACTTTTGCACTTTTGCAGGCGACCAAAGTCTTGTTTGGTTGCAGCTGATCGAACGATGTTGGAACTGAGGCACGGGTGGCCCAAATACGATGGTTGCGCCCAAGCTCGACGGGGACATTGAAGCTGCCACGCGCATGTCAAGCACCATCGAAAATAGTGGCCAGTGTACGGCCATGCGGCATTTGGTAACGGACTCCATGACCAAAGAAGACTTGAAAAGGATTTTTCAAGATGTGCAAGTCACAGACTCTTCTGCGGAAAGCCTTCGCAAGGGAGCTTTCGATGGTTTGTTTCGCCAATGGGCTGAAGGCTTCCAAGTCAAAGATGGCTACGAAGTGCTTCCCTCCGCACCGGGCGGGCAGCCGTTGGCCTATCGCATCTCCCGAGGGTTGACCCCAAACGGGGTTGAGGAACACTGGCGTCGAGTCTACCTGGATGTCAGCACTCCAACTGACACCTCAGTGAAAGACCCAAAGTTCCTGGGAGATTTGTCACGATGGCTGACCACGGAGCAGCCAATCACCCTTGCAGTCAACGGCGACGATGAAGGATTCCCGATCATGCATCAGCTATTTCAGTCCACGGCACAAGCTATTTACAGTGTGGGGCGCGAGGGAAAGCCAGCCCTCACAGCACAAGCACGACCGCAAGATGGAGAAATCTTTGGCGAGTTTCCTCCACGTTTGGACATGGGCAAATATACCTGTGGCCCAGTCTTTGTGCCTTCAAGCACCCCTTCCTACATGGCCCGTTATGAGAAAAGCTTCTTGGAGGAGGCTGCAAAGCGAGCTCAATCCTTTGGCCTGGCAGACATTCTTGGGGATGTTCCAGTGGAGATGAAAGGCTATGCTGTTCTCCTAGCAGAATACCTTAAAGATTCTCACCCAGAAGCTCTTAGAAGCTTTTGCAGTGCTAGCTCTAATCTTGCTGGCCAATCCCTAAAATAGACTTTAAAGGACTGAGAGGAAGCTTCAATATGGACTGGCATGATGCCTGAGGAGAGCTGCGGTGCAAAGCATGGTTTTGGCAATCGTACAACTCTTTGGGGACTCCAGTGTCTTAGATGCAAGTCAACCGAACGGCAGATTGGTCAACTTTCTTGACCAACCGTCCGAGCGTCCGGCAATTCGCCAGGCGCCCACCTTTGCGCGAGGTCTCTACGTTCCTTCGAGTCAGAGCTGAGGACAGATTCAACTCAAGATGATTGGGAAGGATCATTCGACATGCCACTGTGATAGTTCTGTACTTTTTCCATGCCAGGACGACCTGGCCACTGTTCTTTTACATTTGTTGCCTTTTATCCTCACGAATGCGAAGGAGCCTGGAGTCACTTTCTTTTGGAGCGAAGCCACTTTTTTGCAGCTTCTTGGGGGAATGAACTCTTGCCAGGAAGGTTTGGTGATGTCCATTGCAACCGATTGCAGCGCTCGAACGAAAGAGGCATTGAGGCACCCCGTCTGCATCCGTGCTTCGCATCTTTGGATATGCTTCGAACGATGACTTGAAGCTTCAGGACTGCATGTCAAGACGTGTCACACCCTCAGCGGACGTGTCAAGCCGTGGGAGAACGAACTCGAGTAAAGCTCGCACACGACCTGGCAGAACTCCAGGCCTTGTCACGAAGAAGATGACGGCTCCTTCCAGCAACGGTGTCACTGTCTTACGTAGAAACGTGTATTTTCACTGAGCAGAAAAGACACCAATGTCCAATATCATGTCTAGCAAGACGATATTTCCCAAAGCATCAGATCAATTGAATATCCTTTTGTCCAACCATCCAGTTCAGGCCAAAGCTGTGAGCCGTGGAATGTCGTCGTCGCAAGCTCTGTTGCGAGCATAGAGGATGCAGTGACTTTTTAACGGTCCATGCGCTGGATTGTATTTTGGTTCTTTAGAACAGTGGATGGCAGCATTTGATTTTGCTTTATCGCCACGATCACGACATGGTTGATCACTAAGCCAGTAAACATCGAACGTCGCTCGCTTCGTGGCATCACAAGCCGTTTCCAGGAGCTCCCACTGGTTGACCACTTCGTTTTGAGGCGCCAAGACTGATTCACCAGGATTGACCAGTCCTTGCTTTTTCAGTGCTTTTGCCAGCCAGTCGGTCATGCTGGTCTCCTTTTCGCTCGGATGATCTGCTTGCAGGCTGTTGCCCATGGGTCACATCAAGTCTGCCTGCCAAAATGACAAGGAGAAAATACGTGTTTTTTTTGCGATCCCTACGGTTCACAAATCCAAAAGACAGAGCATTTTGTCTTGAAAGGACGGAACATTGGAATGAACAGTTGACAAATTTCCCCAGTTTTTGTGGGGCTTCAGTTTGACATGTCAACTCCCCAAAACATGAATGTTCTTTTAATGAAAACCTCTGATCCTTGACGTGCGGTGGTCTTGTAACGCCTTTGTGTCAAACCGCTGTGCTGCAAGGACTTTGTGGCAGCTTTTGAGAAGTCACCCAAGTGGTTGAAGTTCACTGCATGATCGGTGCAAAAGCCACACCGGATTGGCGGTTTTAGTTCGCCAAGCTAACATAGAGATCCTACGCTGTTGAATTCTGTAGCATTTGGATCCCAAGCATTGTGCCTCCCATCTTCCACAAGTGCTTGTGCAGACTCTGGGCGGAGGAATTTGCTCTGCCCTTTTGCACGGCTGTGGAGAGCAGTACGGTCACGTTTGTGGACCACACACTGTTCCACTTGATCATCTTTTGGTCATCGCTTCATGTCAAAGTGTTCGGAATCGAAGTGGAACGGCTTCCATGCCATTTGGGCATGCTACATTTTGAACACTGCCCCCACAGTCACGCCAGTTGTGTCGCCTGCGGCAATTCCAAAGGGGGGGTTTGGTCTTGCTTGCGCTTGGTCTCCTTCGCAAGTTCTGGGGAGTCTGGAAGTTCCTAGCAGTGCATAGGGATCTTTGGTGATGCAACCCGGATTCGTTTTGCGATCAGTTACCTTACACATGGCAGAAGTGATTACTGTATATAGCACCTATCGCGGTAGCGCGGACCAAAAGTCATGAGGCCAGTGATGGAAAGAAGCAGAAACTGGCCTGGCTCTCGATAGGGGTCCATGTCAAAGATCCACACTTTTGCTAGCTTATTTGTATAAATGCTTTGAGTAAGGCCAATGATGAATTGCCGGCTTTGGAGGCCCTCACTGAGGTCTTCGCGCCAGGTTCTTGGACATGCGATTTCGCTCGTTGATTGAAACAGCAAGGAATCCGATCAAATCCCAGAAACCCCTACTGGGGTATTGTCACACTTGCTGGTGTTGATTTTTGTCAACTCAACATTAGTCACTAACTGTACTCTTCTTTCAAGTGATGCCTAACTTTGACTCGTTCTTGGCGCAACATTGCAATCCTCCCTGCATGGACTGTCAGCCTTGGCTTATGGGATGGTCGCTGGTGTATCCGTTCAAAAAACGGTCGGTGTGTAGTGCTTTTGGGGGCCTGTGAGGGATGTGAGTCGATGCCCGGTTTGGATTGAGATGGCTTGCGAGGTTCTGGAGAATTCTGTAGCTCAGTGGCTTCTGTTTCTTCTGTTTCTTGCTTGTGTCCCATCAGATCAGCTGGCTACCGCGAGCTCATCCAAGAGGCCGGTTCAAATCTAGAAGCTCTTCTTCTATTTTCAAATATATTCTCAACTTTGGTTTACATACTTTGAATCAGGTCACAGGCTGTGGTGAGCTCTGTGAGCGGGTGGACTTAGCGACCCAGGCCAGTTGCGCCACTTGCTGGTCGGTCATCGCGACCTCGTCGGTCTCGCAGGTGGGTCGACGCGTTTTGGGGTTCGCTTCACCGCGACTTGTTGGGGTCGCTCCCCTCCCGGCTGCGACGTGTGCGACTGCCCTTGGGTCAGGTCTACACCAAGGGCTCTCACCTTCTTTGCCACGATGACGTCATCGGCACCAGGAAGGTTCCATTGGTTGTGGCGGGTGTAGACTCCAAGAAGGTCACGTGGAGGAGAGACTCCATGAACACTTTGGAGCCTTGTGCTTTGCTTGCTTCTGCAGCCCTTTTGGCTGTGTGTGTGTTGAGCCGCGACCAAAAGCCTGTTTGCTTTGCGCGCGTGACAAGCCTCGCTGCCTGTGAGCCATTCGAAGCTTGGGGAGCCATGTTGGCTTTTTGTTCCCCTTCGATGACTGTACCTTCCTAAGCAGGTCAGTTCAAGGGATCAAACAAACTTTCATGGAATCATGGATTGGAATTGGAATCTACTACTCAGCATTTCCAGCGAGATGAGGTTCAAATGGCCAGTCCTGCCACGGCAGCTCCACGAGAAAGGTCGATCATGCCATTTCCTCTCGCGGTCGTGTTGTGATTCTTTCAGCCTTTTTCCGCTTCCAGGCTGCACAGCTATCAGCGTTTTTCCGAGTGCACGCCCATCGTGCTTGCTGGTCTGGCGGGAGTGATGATCTCTCAGCGCTGATCTCAAAACCATAAGTGAAAGTCGGAGCTGCGCACCGCCTCACCGCTGCGAGGCAAAGCAAGCGCTTAAACCGCTCCTCCCGGAAGCAGGCCTCCAAGATGGAGGACTGGCAAATGAGCTCTCAGATCACTGACCACATTGAGAATTGCAAGCCCAGGAGCCGTCCCATGAGGATTATGATACCTTGCTGATGAAAGCGGGCTTGAGAAACCTGCTTGGCGTCGAAGAGCTGTTTGGCTGCACTGTTTCTGCGGCCCCCGACCTACGACCCACCCTGCATGGACGCTCGTATGGCACGGTCCAAGGAATCGTATGGCACGGAAGCTGGAAGAAGCTTGCCAAGTGAGCACTGATTTGAAGCGGTGCTTGTCCGATGTGGAGGCAGGCAACTGATTGTCTGTTGGGAAAGAACAGACAACCATGAAAGGAAGCAAGGATGAAAGGGCAAGCAAACTGTAGCTGTAGCTGATGGACTGCTCTCGAGGTGAAACACAAGATCGCAAAGGATGAGGCCTCACCTTTTAGCAAGCGCGTCTTTCTGGATTTTCTTTGATTTTTTTGTAGAGAAAGATGCAGCTGACGGACTTAGTCCAGATTCCTTATGGCGGCCCTATGCCTTTCAGCTGATCCATTTGGTTTTCCTTCTTGGCCGCCATCGACTGACTGCACACTCCAGGTGGAAGAGTTGAGCCTCAATTTGTCTGCAGCACAGGCCTGGTTTGCACAGTCACCGTTGGTCGAGCTTGTGCAACGGTAGGGGATATTTTTGGAGGCGTTGAACTTTGAACCCCCAAGCTGTTTGGGTTTGCTTCAATTCCCAAGCAGCTCAAGCAGAGATTTGGAAAAGAACCATCTTCTACTTGCTGTTGGATTTTCTAGTGGGTCAATCGGAGGACGAGGCTGTTTTAAGGAGTGTTTAGGCACAAGGTGGCTGTAGAGTTGAACGAATCAGCTACCAAAGCAGCGAAGAAGCAATCAGCAAAGAAGACATCATGGGGTAGCAAGTGAAGATGGCTCTGCAAATGGAAGTGACAGGCGGACAATGATGCTCTCAGGGCAGAGAACAAGGAGCTCACAGATCAGGCGCGAGCCAGAGATTCAAAGATTGACATGTAGCACAAGTGTGTGTTAGTCCTTTAGTTGCAAAGCATGTGATCATGTGACATTATTTTCAACCTATTTTGTGTTGATGAACCCCCCCTTTGGCGAATCAAGGGTCGCTGGGTCGGAATTCAGAGCAGATACGATGGTCCGCAATTCCCCTAGTGCAGGCAAACTCCTGTCCCTTAGCGCAGACATCAACAGCTATATGCTACATACATTTCGGCCACTTCCTGCAGACAGTATACACCCCTAGGTTTGAGGGTTTAGACCTTTGAGACTCACAAGCCGCACGCCGACGACCCGCAACCCAACGAGATGCCCACGTCGACGTGCCAGGTGAAGACCATGAAAGAGTCTGCGTCGACCGTGAAGGCCAAGAACTCTGAGCAATGGGCCGCGCAAAAGGCTGCCGAGAATGAGCGTGACAAGGCGGCGGATTAGGAGTGAGCGGAGAGCGAGCGGAGGGCGGAGGGGGCAGGAGGAGTTGTTGTCTCGTAAGACCTACTGGGGCATGAACCCATAGGCTTTGATCTATATACATTGTTCTTTTTCCGGTTTGGATGATATGCTAGCCTGTTTGCGAGTTGTAACGATCTGCGTCTTCAACATAAGGTGTATCTTCTGAGCCACAAGTAGTTCATTAATTCCAGAGTCACTTGCCAGGTTGACTGCAAATGTTGGGTCCAGCTATGTGCCCCCACCAGTATCTTTGAACATGAGGAAGAACATCAACCAAGCAATAGCATGGTTTTGGGCCTCGATCTTGCGCAGGGAAATCGGCTCTTCTTACACATCTGTTGCCCTCCGACTGGGTACGGTAGGAGTCAGAAAGTCAGTTTGCAAGTAGAACGAAATGGATCCAACAAAAGAACCATCTATATATATATATACATACGCATACTTTTCTGCGAAGTACACACTGTGCACTTTAAAGTTACGTTGTGTGTGCGCATCTAAAATGGTCCTGATAGAGTATCCGCGACCAAAAGCTTCGATTTTTATCACTAAACAGCAATTTTGACGACGTTTCCTCAAGAGCTTCGTGGAAATACACAGGCGTTGAACAGGCAAGGCGAGAGGCAGATTTGAATGGAGTGGTGGGTCACTATCAAGGGCATCAATCTAATATTACAATGCTTGCATTGTCTACAGAGTTTGGCAAATTCGGGCGGCAATCAGGGCCCAATATATGCTCAACATCAAGCGCCATTAGGCTATGGCGATTGGACTTGGCAAAAGAAGAGACTCATGTCCTACCTGCTAAGTGTTTGAGTGTTTGAAGGGTTTGAGCAAGATTGCGCAACGTTTGCGCATGGAGCCGAAGACAGCGCTGAGCTAGAGACAGCGCCTTAATTTGAAGAGACTCAATTTTGGAACGCTTCTGGAGTCTGATGGACGCCACATCAGTAGCCAGCATGAAGGAAATCACAAGTCGCTACTGGGAGCAGGAAGCTACTAGGGGCTCCTGGCCTTACCAGGAGCAAAGGACGCTACTAGGAACAAAGGGCCTTTCCACTAGCAACAAGAACGCGACGAACGGGGCTCCTGGCATCGCTACTAGGAGCAGTCCTGAGGTCCGCTTGTGGCAAGTGACGGCACCAGGTGCCAGGTGTAGGCCATATGAGTGCACAAGCTAATCATCGCACATGTGGAGATCAGCATGGGCCTGGTCTCGCTTCACATGCGATTTGCTGGACATTGGTTTAGGTCTTAGGTGTTTGCTTTGTTTCTATTTGCCCCACTCACATGTGTGAATTTCAGCGGTTGTAGCCAGGGTGTATTGCGTACAGTTGATGCACCGTCGCTGCTGTTTCGGCTGAACAGGGCCCTTGAGCTGATTCGCTGCTGCGAAAAGGAACTGTGCGAGATTCAAACTGGTAGCGGAGCAGGTTCTGAAGGGGCACCCTCAGGATCTGACTCACCCGGAGAGACTCGCTGGATCCAAACCCGTTGAACCCAATTGCGTGACCCTGCGCGCAATCCGTCGAACCGTTGTAATTCCAGTGCTTTGCGAAACTTGTTGAGTTGCGATGTCGCTGGCTGGCCTGCGGTACACATCCCATGGAGGAAGTATCTCAGGACCACAGGAGACGAAGAGCGGATCGTATATCTACAGTGGCAATCCAAATGGTTTCTTCGAATGGGAGTTTCGCACCAAGGTCCGCGTTGCTTTGCACAAGCAGAAACATGCGAAGAAGAAGTCAGAGAAGACCTATTCGAGTCATGGAAGCCAATCAGCCACACCAGAACGTTCTCAGAGGAGGCCGACTTATGCGACCGAAGCTGGGGATGTATCAGAGGATGACGAGGTACGATTTGAAGCTTTTGGAACCCCGAAGTCCGAGAGCGTGGCAGGAGAGGAAGAACCAGCTCTGAGCACTGCCGGACTGGATGATGATGGAGCAGAGTATGCAACACTTGTTCACAAGGTGTTGGAAGGTCTGCGAGGTGATGCATACCTTACAGCCCAAGACATGGGACTGGAGAAGTTGTTGACTCCAACTGGCATCGATGAGTTGATTTCGCGTATACGTGCACAAGTTTTCCCACTTCGACAGCAAGAAGCACGAGAGTTGTTCAGAGTGGGTCAACTCCCACATGGTCCCTTGTCTCGCCAATCGACAGAAAGCATGACTAGCTATATTTCACGAAGACGTCGTTGGTGGAGGAAGCTTTTGGAGATGGATGATGGGGTAAGTCTTTCAGACCCCATGCGTGGTGAGCTACTTCTGGAAGGCTCTGGCTTGAGCAAGACAGAACAGCTTATGATCAAGACAGCTGCAGGCGACAACCAATCCTTTGACGTCTACGCCAAGTTCTTGCTTGAATTCCATGGACAAATTCACTTGCGCAGCTGGTCCGCTTTTGGCAATGCGAGCCCTCGGAGGCAGAAAGGCGGAGGCAAGTTTTCAGGCAAGTCTTCCTACAAAGGAGGAAAAGGGCGCAGTTGGCAAAGATCTGCGTACATTGTTGAAGATGACTCATGGGATTATGAAGAGTCCTATGAACCAGAAGCAGAGGATGACTATGAGCATGAAGCTTACGTTGCAGCAGAAGACGAAGAACCAGAAGACGAAGAACATGAAGACTATGTCGAGGACCCTGAAGTTGCCACAGCGTTGATGGCAATGGGAGAATGTGATGATGAAGAAAACGATGTCTCAGAGGAACTGGGCAGCCCAGATGATGGCCTTTGTCGTGACTGACCAGTTGAAGGGCAAGAGCAAAGGCGAAGGTAAAGGTTCAGGAAAGAAAGGTGGAAAGAGCAAAGGAAAAGGCAAGTATGTGTTCAGGACACAGTTGAGCGTGCAAGACAGGATTGCACGTCTAGCAAAGTTGAAATCAGTGTCCAAATGCTTGCGTTGTGGAGGAAAAGGACATTGGGCAGGAGACCCAGCTTGCAAGTTCCCCAAGCAGAACGACAAGTCCCCTGGAGGAACGTCGTCGACGAGTAAAGCCACAGCCTACTTTGCATTGAGTGATGATGAGTCTTCTGTTGAAGATGAATACATGTGTGTTGATGTCAGTGGCCAAACTGTCGAAAATGGTACGTGCTACATGGCATACAAGATGTCCCCAAAGAAGAAGCTTGAGTTTGAACCGTCAGACCGTGCATCCATGTCGTCAGGAGCGACCAGCAGTCCACCGTCTAGCTTTTCGATGGTCGAGCCAAATGTCCGTCGGTCACCGCAGAAGTCCCCACCGGTCATGCGTAGGAAGAAGGACGTGGAGCAAGACTTGTTGCCTGAAGGTTCACAGAATGTCTTCGTGTTTGGTCAGCACCAAGGTTTGACATATCATGAAGTGTTGTTCAAATACCCTGGATACTATCAATGGGGATCAGGCATTTCGCACCCTTCGCGTTGTTTGGCAGATTTTCTGACCTGGGTGACCACGTACTACGAAGTCAGTCAGGACGGAGACGTGAGCCTGAGAGAGCATCCCTTGACAGATGTGCCAGTAGAGGCAATTCGACGTACTGGAGACAAGAGTGCCAAAGGGAAACCACCAAACCCCCCGCTAGAGGAACCATGTCGTCGTTGCACCAGATTCACATTTCAAGGTTCAAATGCCTATGTTGAGAACAAGACATGCCTTGACTGCGGAAAGAATGAAAGAAAGAAGAAAGAGAGCAAGCCTACTGCTGACCCCGCAAAGTGCAAGCATGAGGTTACGGATCGTCGGGGCAGTTCGAAAACCACGTCCCGTTGGTACTGCAAGTTGTGCGGAACCACAGTCGACGAGATGCCCCGAGAAGAGGCGCGCAAGAGAGAGGCAATGGCAAAGAGTGTGGTAGGCATGCGCACCAATGCATTCGACGCGACAGCATCCATGATTGAGAATGAAATCAACGATGCATGCATGTCAGCTGAAGGAACTCTAGAGGTCATGGAGATGTTTCGACAAGAGGTTGAGTGTGAGTTAGAATTTGGAGAACCTGTGAGGGTTGGCGTTCTGTTCGAGATCCTTGCCAATGCCGTGGAAGTCATCAGAGAGGCCGCCCCGGAAACTTGCTACATGGGGCTGTTGTCGGATCTCAATGAAGCCACGATTGAAAACACACTTCGTCTTGTTGACATCATGGAAGACCCTGGAGTCTGGGCTGTGTTGGATGAAGGATGTAATGCAACTGTTTGTGGACAAGCATGGATCCAAAACGCCAAAGACAAGTATGCACGACTTGGGTATGATGTAGCTGATTTGCAGTGTGACTCAAAAGCCTTCCGAGGACTCGCCGGAGACACCAAGACTTTGGGCAAGTGTCGAATTCCATTTGCTTTGACCTTTTTGGACCCCGAGACGAAACTTCCGGGAGTCATGGAAACGCATGTTGTCGATGGGAAGATTCCCTTGCTTTTGTCACAGCATGCTCAAGCTGCATTGCATTTCACGAAATCTATGGGTGATGCCAAGTGTTATGTAGGAAACGCAGAACTTGAACTGTGCAGAGCTAGGAACTCAGGACTTCTATGTGTGAACCTCTCAGAAGGTCTCAAGAGCCTAAAGTCCAAGAGACTCCCAAAGCAACTTCGAGAACTTAAGAACACGGATTATGGCATGAGCTTCAACATTCGCCCATCAGATCAATTGACTGCATTCATGGCTGACGAAGAGCGCCCGACTAGAGGCACTTTCACGCTGGATGACCCTGCTTGCGCGCACGTCCTGACGTGTGGAAAGGAGTTCCATGGCCAGATTGCGAGCTTCGACCGCAGCAAGAGCCTGACTACATTGGGACCCATCCTGGCACAATTTGACCCCGGGAGGCGATTGCTAGTATTTGACTGCATGGGATTTGGAGACCCTCAGCACGACCCGCAGTTGCGAGCCCATGTTGGTACACATCCTGAAATCATTCGAGGGATGACTGGCAGTGAGAAGACGATGGAAGCATTGCTATATGGACTTCATCATCTGAAGGCATGCCA